TGATGGGAATATTTTCCTTATACCGAGGTTATATCTGCCCCGAGGCAACTTCTGCTGTCACTCCCAGTTCAGCCCTTTAAGGCCACCAGGACGTTTAACTTCATGACATCCCTTCAGGTCCATGAACAGAGCCATCGTAGACCCAACCCCCAGAAACCTGGTAATAGGGCAGTGCTTATGCTTGGATTATAATGGCTGTTCTGCTGAATGTTGCTTTACATAAAAGAGCTAAGGCTCTGAAATCTTTTTGCCATACAAATGTATCTATTGTAAAAGGATGTACCCCTTGGTATTCTGGGGGGCCCTGGTCAGTCTAGGCTTGGAGTATTCAGTCCTATGTGCCACGTTTGATGGGGACACTGAAAAGCTGCACCATGTCTCCATCAGGTGTCTGTCCCCAGCTTGCTAAGCTAGAGGCTTTGGGGAACTTCCCCTTGGGGGAGATCTAGGACTCTGCTTTGGTTGAGCTGAGTTACCTCACTCCCAGTGGGAGAGTTCGTTGACTCAGGATTATCTGGTATATATTCTCACACGCATACTTCCTCTGATTTCTGTTTCTTGCTGTGCGACTTGGATCTCGAATTTCTTGGCTAAGTGCGCTATGTGTGTTCACTGTGGAAGTGGTGTTTGGTGGGAAGTGAGTCTCCCTTGGATATATAGCTTCAGATCCTCCTTTCCCCCAATAATGACACAGTGATCAGAAGCTAAATTGAAGCCAATTATACTCCCTAGGCTGATAATATTTAAGGGAACAGATATGTATTTCTAGCCCAGCATCCCCTCTCTCTGAGGAGAACAAAGTGGCCTCTTGCCCCAACTTCTCCCTCCTCGTCTTGGTAAGAATGAAAGCTTCCCTTGGAGAAAGGTGGGGGAGGAGAGGCTAGAGATGTCTAGTCTATGGCTTTTTGAGCCTCACACACAAAGATAACCTGGAGGCAGGCGAGCTTCCCTACACGTCTTCAAAATAAGGAGGCTGAGGGTCAATGATGTTGAAAGATCCTTCCAACCCTACATCTGTGAATCTATGATTATATTCGCCATGGCACCCAGAAGAGCATCCTGTATATTTCTTTAGTAATACTTGCTGATTTGATTTCATCAAACCCAACATATTGACAAGAGGTGAAACCCCCCAAAATGCATAATTTTTAACCAAAATTTTTTCTCTTTTCACAAACTGAGGTTGTTCAAGTATTCATGAAAAAAAGTCACCATTTCTATCATGGCTCCAAATGATTTATTCTTTAATCTTCTCTTCCCTGGCCAGGAACTGTGAAAGAGAAGCAAATGCTGCCTGAGATAAAAACGAGTCATGTGTGAGGGAGGTATGGAACCAGACTGCAGACCCTAATGAATCTATAGAGGGAGAGTGAATGTGTTTTCCTTCCAAGAAAGGAAACCTGTACCTCAGAAAGGTACTTTCATTATCCACGTGCTGGGACAGCATAGAGGCTGGCATCTGCTAATTTAGCTCTCTTTGGCAATATTCTCATAAGAATGCCTCCATAAGAGTGCCGTGGCACCCCACCCCCACCCCACAGCCCCTAACATACATACACTTGGTTCTCAAAGAAAATAATAGCAGCTGTGGTTTACTGAAGATACAGCTGTTTGTTGTTCAGGGGGTTTGTTCTCAGTTCTAAACTGGCCAGTTCTTTAAAAAGGGACAGACCCTCCCCGCTAACACACACACCTAGTCACCTCTGAACCTGGCATAGGACTTGAAATGCAAAATGTTCAATTTTGCCTCCAACTCTCCGGAAAGATTGAGGAGTCTACTATGACCCTCACAAATGATAAAAGAGAACATTACTTGACTAGACCAGAGACAGAGGAAAAGTTTTAGGGAAGATGCACAAAGGTCTGTCTCTCTGTCCCATCTCTATCTCTGTCATGTCTCTCTGTCTCTGTCTCTGTCCTGTGTCTCCTGCCTTTCTTTTTCTGCAGCTCAGCCATTCCTTTCTCCTGGGGACCCTCTATTCTTGCTGCCCAAAAGTCACACAGCTACTTTTTCTTTGGCATCATCCCCCTCTTTCCACCCATGTGACTTCACACCAAGCAAGCCTAATGGACTCATGGAGGTATTTAGAATCTAATTCCATCCTGTTTGAAAGAATGCTTGAATGTCTACATAGTTAAGATTATCATTAATAATTATGTCCTCAATTTAGAGAGCTCATTTTGGAAAGATTTACATGTTTCTATTGAGTTAAGAATTTCCCTAGAAGTCCACGAATATGTAAATACCCCTTCTCTCTTGTTAACAGACTGGTAGAAGACAATCACATCTATTTTATTGAGTGAGATTCGACTCAACATAACAGTGTATTGGGATTTACTAAAAGGTCCCAAGAACTGCAGGCTGGGGAGGGAATTCTTGCCCATTTCTGAGCGGAAACTGGGAGGATGTGAAGCAGTGTTGGTAGCAGACTGCGGCTAACATAGGTTAATATTCTAGACCGCTTAAGAAGGTAACAAATGTCACTGAAATTCAGTGGAAAACAAATCACGTAAGTCCTGGGTGGGTTGGGTGGCCTTGGTTTTGTGAACAGAAGTCCCTCTGTTTTGGTGATGCCTGGCCAGCGGTCAGCTGCGGGGCCAAAAGCATAACAACTTCTCAGTGACAAGAGACAGCAGCCACAGCCCAGCATGTATTATTCTGTATCGTTGCCATAGAAATGGATGATAGTGTTTGTTATAATGGTGACTGAGGTGAGGGTGGAAGAAGGGAGCTGAGAGTGACGGGCCTCTCCTGCCACCTGGTGAGCACAACTACATCAACACGACCCATTTCTTTGATTCCGATGCTTTTCAAGCCCTTCCTGGCCACCTACGCGATCCTGGAAGGTATCCTGAGGTCGCGTCAGCGTGGCTAAGGATGAGTAACTCAAACTGCCATGCCCAGGCCTATAACTGGCCTGGCCCCGGGACTCCCCAGCCCAAAAGGACTGGACTGGACCGGACCTCTGCCTTACGTGTGTCCCCATCTTTTCATCGGGCAGGGCTTGTTAATCCAGTCAGCGGTGAATACCCCTGCCCTATGGCTCCCCTCAGAATCCCCGAGTCTGAGACTAAACCCTTTACACCAAAGCTTCTATTTGGGGTCACCATGGTCAGCTTCCTTGCACTCATCCAGGCCATATCCCATCTGCACTCCGCCTCAAGTGTTGCTATCCCACTCTGGCCTATCCTGTTGGGCCTTCAGAAAGTCCTGTTCTACTGGCCTTCTCCAGGAAATCACGTCCCATGTATGTTGTGTTTACTTATATGGGTGTGGGTCCTCCCAGGAGATCATAAGCTCCTTGAGGCCAGAGTCTATGTTATCTTGTTTTTGTATCCCTAATACTTAGCATTGTGCCTGGCACATAGTAGGTACTTAACAAATGCTTACTGAAATTTTTTTTTTTTTTGACTAGGCAATGGGGTTGAGTGACTTGCCCAGGGTCACACAGCTAGTAAGTGTTGTGTCCGAGGTTGGAATTGAACTCAGGACTCCTGAATCCAGGGCCGGTACTCTATCCACTGCGCCACCTCGCTACCCCTGAAATTCTTTAAAAAGTCTAACATGACAAATAGTAATAGTTCAGGGTCATAAAGCATTTTCTGGTTTGTCTTTCTCACAGTAATCCTGTAAGACAGGTACTAGCACTAGACAGAAGCATATCCCAGCAGTGCTCTCTAAAAGTACCACTGAATACACTTCACACCCTCCTCTTAACCCTCTTTCTGCTTCATGTGGGTCTGTGGACTCCCAGTGTGGTCTAGTGGATAGATTTGGGATTAGGAAGAACTGGGTTCAAAGCCTGTTTTTGACAGTTCTTAGTTTCCTGGCCCTGGCAAGTCACTGGTCCTCTCTGAGACTCAGTTTCCACATTAATCAAATGGGATGGTTGGATTAGGTGGCCTATACCATGCCTTCCTGCTCCAACTGTAGGATCCAGGACAGAAATTTCCTGAGAACTATCTCCATTATTTGGATACAATGATGGATGGTTACTTCCTCGGGGTAGAGCTGGAATTAGGATTATGTAAAATAGGCAGGGAGAAGGGACGGGGATGCTTTGACTGAATAACAAAGCCTTTACTCTGTGTTAGGCCCTGTATTAAGTGCTGGGCTACAAATACAAAAAGCCCCACAGTCCCTACCCCCAAGGAGGTTCATATTCATATCAAACAAACAGAAGGGATAGATGTTTGGGTCTGGGAGGTCACAGTGGCAACACAGGACAAGTATGTTTGGAGAACGGAAAGGAAAAGTACTTTTAAAGACTTAAATGTGTGTGTATTCTATGCCAGAAACGCTCGTTCTCTGCCCTGGATTCATCTTGTGCTAAATCGAGTCCCACGTCTAACAGGGAAGGCTCCAGGCTTCAGAAAAGTTCATGCGCAGGTTCTCCAAAGCAGGTGGGAGGAGGCCACAGTCTGCCCTAGCTCTGACTCTGGAAACATTCACTGTTTTCAACCAACGCCTTACTTCCGTTTCAGCTCTTCACGTTATCTGTCTCTCCATGAAGACGAGTCAATGCTGCTCCAATCTATTCTGACCATCTTTTCTCACCTGTGACAGAGCTTTGTCACTGGATTATCCAGGAGTGTCCTGGGACTTCCAAGAGGGCCCCGAAGGCCCCTGGGTATTCAGTCTGTGAGATCGACTGTCCACCTGTCCTCTTACCTTGTGACTATGCCTTACTGCAACTGTCAAGATAAGCACTGGTTCAAGTGGCTGGGCCTTAAAACCATCACAGCAGACTTAAGGAAAATCAGGCAGTGGAGTGAAAAGAGAGTTAACATATTCTGCTGTTATTATTCTATTCCTTTTCAGACTTGTCTGGAGGCATCTGTGTTTGTGGCCCAACATTGTATTTGCTGGAGGCAGATACATCTGTTCCTAGCCCAAGGATGTGGGGAGCAGTGAGCAGAAAACATCCACAATCCCCCATTTTCCCCCAGATGTGTTCCTTCCTCTTCCTCCCATTCCCATAAAAGTTCACACAAGAAGATTCTGAAATATATTTATTAAAAACCTCCCTTATTTTCAACAAAAATATAAAGACCCTCTACCTTTCTCTTGGCTTGTTTTAAAGTAATGCCTGGGAATAACCATCGTAGTAGTGCACAGTGACAGACAGGTTTTGGGAGCCTGAAGCTGACTTAAAGAACAGAACAACTGTTATTCAGACGGGCATGCTGAGGCCCACTCCTTCATGCACAGCCGTCAGGGGACGTCCACTTGTGGGGTAAAACTAAGATGGAATGGGATCCCCTACCCTGCCACTTGTCTCTTCTAACAGCCCATCCTTGGAAGCCAAGTTACCGAAGGTGAGGATGAGCTACTTAGCAGCGAGGCACCACACAAGACACCAAAACCCTGTGTTTTTGTCTAAGAGCTCTCAGAGCTTGTGGGCCAAGCCTGCCGCTAAACCTCACCGTGTATATGCCTTCTGACCATATTTTCTGAAACAAAACTGGGGTATGTGACTTCCTTTCTCTCTGGACTTGGGAAGTGGGACAAAGCCCCATTTCTTTCTATTCCGTGGCTTCCAGGCCAGCCCTGGTGTCTCCTATTGGCACACAGACCTCGTGGTACTGCGTTCTTGAAGGTTAAACACCCTGATCACTGAATGATTCCCCCCCTTCAGTGGTGTCTACTTACAAGAAAACGTGGAGGGCGACACAAGTGAGCACAAGGCCATAACGTTGTAACATAACTTTTCTGCCTCAAGTTGCCGCCCATTAAGCATGGAAGGCATCCTCCAGAACATGCCTGAACAAGGAGGTGGGCCAGTCACAAGATATGATAGAGTGTGAGGGTCAACAAACCCTCATGGGCTCCCACAGAATGTCAAAAGACCTGGAGCAGGGGTCCTAAACCTCTGTTCGTGTCTCAGACCCCCATGGGAGTCTGTCAAATCCTAAACACCTATTCTCAGAATCATGTTTTTAAAAGCACAAAATAAGATACATAGGATTACAAAGGAGACCAATTGTATTGAAATACAGTTATTGAAATGTTATTGATAAAAGTTCACAGGCGCAGGGTAAGAAGCCTGACCCAGAGGCTCTGGGCCTCTGGCCTGTGGCAGGGAAGACACAGACAAGAACGGTGAAGAATAAGAAGGTATAGATGGTCTGTGCTCTGCACCGTTGGAGGAAAGGTCCCCATTTGAGATAATGGATCGTCTGAAGAAGTGAATTCCTAAATTGTGACAAAAGTACTTGTTTTTAACCGAGTACCTCTGCCCCAAGTTGTTTTATTCTGTGAAGAGTTGAGACTTATGATCACGGTACTGAGAATCACGATGTCCTTAGAGGCTTCCGAAACTTGCTCTGAAGAAAAACTCTTGGTACACACAGGCCTTCTTTCTTATTCACGGTTTCTCGAAGGACATACTCATTGACTACTTCTTCATATCCTGTTGCCCAGAAGAGCTGAGCCAGGAACACTAGAAGAGGGAAAGGTAAATGGCACCGATGATCTCTGCCTGGAGAGCTTTTCTATCACCTCACCAGGTCAAGGCAGCGAGGGAAGCTAAGACCATGTTTTTGTTTAAACACTTGAATAATTTCACTTTGACATTTTAGGTTAGGTTTTACTTTAATGGAAAAGAAAGACAACAAGATTCCATTTCCTACAAGTTCATTATTTTTACACACAGGTGGAAATTTTAATTTACAGGAAATGGCTTTCATAGACTTGTGAGCTGGAAGGGATCTCAGGGGTCACAGTCCTTCAGTGGGGCACAGTAAAATGACTTTTCCAAGGCCACATGGGCTGTAGGAAGCAGAGCCAGAAACGACAGAAAAGTTTCCTGACTCCAAGTTCTGAGTGGTTTCCATGACCCCAAGTGGTCACTCACCCAAAAACTCCTTCTCTTCCAGACCACACATTTCCAGTATAAAGTGGGACAGCTCCAACCTGCCCCACGTAAGCCACCTTGCACACGTTCAGGGTAGGTGTCCTACTTAATTCAATCCAAAGATCATCTAAGGAATACCTATTCCACGCCCAGCACAGTCCACTATTGATTCCCTCAAAAGAACCAATGAACAGGCATTTATTAAGCACCTACTACATGCCAGGCAGGCACTGTGCTGAACAACGTACAATGTCCGCATTCAACCAAAAAGGAAAGACATGAATTTCAAAGCTGGCTGTGTTCACAAAAAGGCTCCACACCCTTGACTGCTTTACTCTGAGCACCTTATTTATTCTACTACTCAGGGGAGGCCGGAGGTAGGGGAACCCAAGTAAAAATCCTGGTGACTGTGTATCATAATCTTTCCCTTCCCCTGCCATGAAGAGGAAGGCCAAGTCCAAAGCACAGTCTGCACCGTACAACCGGTCCTAACACAGCGACCTTGGGGTTGAGGAAACAGGCCCTTTGGAAGGTCCTGGCTTTAAACTGTTTACCTGTGGGCTCCATTTCATGCCTTTCGGAAAAGAAGCAATAATGTGGAAGGCAGCAAACAGCTTTAACAAACTTTCCTCATTCATTGCAACCTCAGGAGATTTCTGTTTTCCATGCATCTTTCCCCATACCTACAAGGCCATGCAGACTTCCCCCGAGCCTGCTGCACCCTCGAGCTCCTGCCAATCAAATGGAGAAAACCTGATCACTGCAGGAAGCTGCCTCTGTTTGCATTTCCTCTGGACAGTGTCCTTCCAAGCACCTTCACTTCTGGCTTCCCTCCCAGTCATTCCACAGACGCCACCCTTTTAAAGGTCACCGCTGACCCACTTACCCTTACATGCAGCACCTTTTCTCCCCTCTCACTCTCTCTAATCTCGGCTGCATTTGTACCTCCTGAACGCCCCCTCTCTGACACGGCCTGTGGCTACACGGATTCTCTTCCTCCCTCATTTACTATTGGGCACTCTCCCCTCTTCTTTCTCCATCTACAGTCATGGCACCCGCGTAGTCTCCTTCCAAATTCCGCCCCACCCGCTTCCTAGTTCTTCATCTCTGGGGTCTCGTAGACACTGCTGTTAGAAGGCTGGGCGTCACCTCCAAAAACCAAGCTCGCTCTTTTCCCTGGAGCAAGCACCCCTCTTTCTATTACCGGCACTATCATTGCTGCAGGTCCCAAGGCTCAGCATTTTGGCTTCTCTTCTCCCCTATCCTTCATTAGTTTGACAACTATTAATTTGGACCAGTCTCTACAGACATGCATGGAGCAGAGGTAAGTGCGGTCTAGACAAAAGCAGCCCTGATCTCTAGTCTTTTGTAAGGTGACTCCTATCAGTTGTGAGAAGCCAGGTGCCCCTCACCCGGGCTCTCCCCACCCACCGTCACTGTCCTCAGCACAGCTGTCAGCGCCCCGAAGGCCTTTGGTGCCTCAGTGTCCCACTGCCCTCTGGTCCTATGGCCCATCTCGCCCTGCCACCCTCCCTCCTTTTCACAAAAGTCACACGATAGTGCCATCTGGGTCCAGTACACCTTATGTGACGGCAGTTCACCTGGACCTCTGCTTGAAGGTGATCCTTGCACTCGCTCTCCCAAGCCTTCTCACCCCTCCTCACCTCCACAGGGCTCTCCCTGCCCCTAAGAGCTTGCCTCACGCTTCATTAGAACAATGGAGGCCACATGCTGAGAGCTCCTTTCCCCCCCCCTCAAGCTGCATCACTCAGATGTCTCCCAAGACTTCTTCCTCCTTCACCCCGTCTCACCGGAAGGTGGCTCTTCCCACTGACCAGGCAAACCCCTTGAAATTCATGAGTGACCCCATTCTATCCCTTCTCCTCCAGCAGACTGCCCCATCTGTCACCCCCATTCTCTCACTGATCGTTGTGTGCTCCTAGGCTGCGTCCCTACTGCCCACAAACATGCCCATGTTTCCTCTTCCAAAAACCCTCCCTGACCCCCTTTGGGTTCGCTCATCCCTTTCCTTTACAGCTCATTCTATTCAATCCATCATTCAGTGCTGCTGACTTCTCCTCAGACACCTCTCCTGGCCGTCCCTTGTTCTCCATTCTCGAAGCATTCATTAGGCACCTACAACGGCAGACACGCCCTCATCCGGGTCCTGGTCTGGCTCTTATTACACCTGAATGACTTCAAGACACCGAACGCTGGCTCCAACTTCAAGTCCTTCCCCTCCAGCTTAAATACTGTCTCCGAGCTTCGAGCTCCCTTTCTTCTGTGCTCCAATAGCATTTTTAGCCTCTTCCATGCAACCTACTACTTTACATTCTTGTCTTACGTTGTTCTCTGAACACTTTACACACATCTACACAAAGACATACAGATATATATGTGGAGACAGACAGATCGATCTCTGTATCGATATGTCTGGGTTTTGAGTCTCCACTAACATTACTGAGTCTCTGAGGGAGGAACCTCATTATAAATGTCTGCCTCTCCCCACATGACCTGCACAGTGCTGGGCCCAACAGAAGGGATTAAATAAATACTTCTTGTTAGAGGGCTTTTGCATTCCAGTGCTCCCTGCCTACATACAAAGCAGTCAAGGACTGAGAATTTTTCCTGCATAATGTCTGGCTTTGGTTTCTACAGCTATACAAAACGTAACGTGCTGAGAGACGCCCTTGTGAGGGCATAGGATACATTTCAGGTCCTCAATCAATGAGCCATAAAATTTGTTGAGGTTCATTCCAAACACTTATTCCTCACTGCCCTCTCTTGCCTTCAAAGTCCAGAGCTCAGTTAGGCAGGTAAATGTTCTGTCTCATGCTTTGTTTTGAAATGTGAAAATCTTACTGGCAAACCATTGGTCTGTACTGACCATGTCATGCTCTGTCTAAATACCAGAACAGAAAGATGAAAAAGGGTTGTACAAAACTCTCACGGATAAACTGTGTCACCCACAACAACATCAGAATTAATTATAGTCCAATGAACAACTGAAAATTGACAAAAAATAATTTAAAGGGAAATTGCCCCCTCATTTCTCTTACCATCAGTAAAGAAATAGGCCCTGGTCCCATCTTGTCTAACGTAAAAGTTTTCTCCCAGCTTGTTGCCAGCTTTAAACCGCAGCATTGCATGATCATTCAGCCCATAGTCTCGAAACAAGACACATTTACCTGGCTTTAATACCTAGTGAACACAAACATATATTGTATATTATTCCCATGTATTAAGTAAAAGCTCAATGAAAATTGAATGTCAACTGAAATCTCCTTAATTCAGACACCACTAACTCAAGCTTGTGAAAGTTCTAGGCTGAGCTAACCTGGATTACTGATGAGATGTGTGGGACAGCAATCAAATGAATAGAAAAAAGGAGACCACTGCCTCAGCTGCTTAAGAGGACAAGCTTTGAACATGCCTTTTAGTGGTTGTATCCATTCCTGCAAATATCTAAGAAATGGCAAACCACAACATTCAGGGCTTTATCTGTAACCAAGTGTTCCTCTGCATAGCTATTTCTTTCTTTTTTTGTTTTGTTTTGTTTTTTTGGGTGGGGCAATAGGGGTTAAGTGACTTGCCCAGGGTCACACAGCTAATAATTACATAGCTATTTGTAAAAAGAAAGATTCTCTCTTTCTTTCAAAGGCCTTGCTCCCCCAACAGTCACTACAGAGTCCAGTTCATCTGTGGTTGGCCTGAAGCTGACCAGCTTCCTCTTCCAGGGACCAGAAGGCACAGGACACTCATTCACAAGCCATGCAACCTTCCTTTAAATTCCTGAACTTTGTTACCTACATCCAAATAGGAAACATTTTAACTCTTCTTCAAAGTTTATCTTTCAGCACCATGAAGTATCTGAATCCATTTACTACAATTTATTTGACCCACATCATCTCCTGAGCAAAGTCAAAGACAGTTTCTGAACCCTAACACACACATAGTACAACAGACCAAAGGAGAAGGTGGCCCCCAAGGGCTTTCTAGGGAGCGTGATTCCAAAGCCTCCCCCTCCCCTCAATCAGGCTCTCATCTACCTTGTAAACATTTTGCAAGACCAGGTGCATCTTGTCAGGGTGAACGGCAGAAAGCACAAATATCAAGGTGACGACATCGACAGAGGCTGCTGGGACATGTTCCAGGAGATCATCTTGGGTGAGATCACAATGGAAGGCCTTACACCGCTCAGCGTCATACAGAGGGTTTTGCTATTCAGCAGGGAAAGGAAGAAAACGTGAAAAATTGTTTCATGATTAAATCATGCCAACATTGAAATAATTCAAATTCACCATTTATCGTGTCTATTATATGTAAGGCACCGTATTAGAATGCTGGGGGAACAAAGTAAAAAATGAGATTACCCTTGCCTTAACTCTGCTGGTGAGGGCATGAGCTGAATTAACCCAACAGCATGAATTAATTTTGTGAAAACATGGCATCAGGCGAAACCTTTTGACAGAGGGCAGTGACTTTGGTAATAACAGGGACATTGGCTGTTTCGTTATATTATGGACGACACTGGTCGTTTCATAACATTGCAACAGTTTTGTGATGTCATAATAGTTTGGTTACAACATATGTAACTCATGCTATGGGAAATAAATGTCAGAGCAATGTATACACAGGATGTGCGCTGTTGCTTGTAGATGATTCAACCAAGAAGGTGGCAGTCTCTCACAAAGCAGCTGTCAAATTCTGCTAGAAAGCTGAGACTCTCATTTCTGCCCCTGGCACTTTATCTAAGGCAGAAGTCCCCAACATTTAAATATTGTTACAAATAACAGGATTTAATTGCTACATATTGCATTTTACTTAGAAGCCCCCTGATCTTCAAAAATGCACATTTTATAAACCTATGGTAGAAGATAAGCTTGACTTTTTCTCTGTAAACCCAGAATGCCTAGCAAATTGTTAAGTACTTAGGAAATGCTGGGTGACGGACAAATACAGGGTGAGATAGTAAACCGATTACCTCTAGGTTATTTAAGGGCTGACTTTCTATTTGGAAAACCAGATAAGGATAACAATCAAGGAAGGGTGGGGCCCAGCCTCCTCCGTCCAGATGGGTGTCTTTTGTGCCTAGGAAGCCTCATTATCAGGAATCCAAAGGGGCGGGGGGGGGGGGGGGGGGGGGGGGGGGGGGGGGGGGACAAGTCCTTTTCCTACAGTTTCAGGCTTCAACTCCATCTTTCCTCTTCCCCACCCACTCCAGTTCTACTGGTAGCAGTCAGAAAGGGACAAACTGAGCCCAAATCCACCACCTCCTCCCCTCCTCTCACTGGCCACTATTTCTCCTCACCAAAGCCCCAGATGGCAAATAAGTTAAGAGAGAAGGCCCAACCTGGGTAGGTAGTCGTGGTGTCAGTGGGGCACAGAACTGGGCCATGCTCCCTGCCCTTCCCTTCCACCCTCAAGGCCACCTTGGTGTTTGGGCTCATGGGGCCCTTAGGTTCTCAGCATGTATTTTCATGTATTTTGCTCTTGAGAGACTGCATAGAGGACTGGACAGAAAGCCTGCCTCAAAGTCAGCAAGACCTAGGTTCCAGTCCTGCCTCCGGCTTCTACTGGCCCCTGGTGACCTGGGGCAAGTCCCTCAGGCTTTCGGGGCTTGGCCCAGGCAAGCTGAAGTGGCCTGTATCACAGGTCTAATATGCTATATACATACGCACATATGAAGGTATGTATTTGTATAGATGTACCCACATGTGTATGTTCTAACATGTCATAAAATACATATTTTTGTCAAGACAACTTACAACTTCGTGAAGATAAACTTTTGGTTCATGTTTATGACAAGCATTTTCTCCTCTAAAGTCCATTCAAAGTATTTCAACTCAGGCTGAAACACACATATACAAACACATACACAACACATATACCCCACGTATACATAAATATATTAAAAATATATACATAGTTTTTATCTTAAAGCTAGAACATTTTTTATGAAAATTTTTTAGGCAGGATAAATAAATGTAATCCTTGTAAATTTGGTGAACATAAATGTACTTTACATATCAATCACTTGCTGGCTAGTGAAGACCTGTCATTTCCACATTTTGCTTCCTATTTCCTATAGTTTGAAACATTTTTCTGGCAAAGAGAGGGCTTTTTTTTTTTTTTTAATGGAACAGCCAGCAGAAGTTCCAGACCTCCAGGCTTGGGAAGGCATCAGCTTCCTCCCCTCGGCAGTTCTCTGAATGCTCAGGTCCACCCCACAGCCATCCTTTCCTTCTCTGTGAAGCGTCTGGGATAGGTGATCGCTGCAGAACATCTTTTCTTCTGAGAGTAAGAGGTTTTTCAATGCGTTGGAATCCCATGGAACTCCAACATTCTTTCCAGCTGTCACTAAGGTAGCCCAGGATTGTAGGTCTTGCAGGCTGACAGTAACTCACTGGGCAGAATTCCAAACTCAAAATATTTGAACTCAGATTCCCACAAACCTACTTTGTGGATTCTCAAATCTACACATTCATTCAACACTGACCAAGATAGATCGGAAAGTCCTCTGCTGAGATGGTAAGAAGAGACTAACAAGATGAAACTAATAGGGAAATAAGGAAAATCTTAAGACCTGAGTCAAGAAAAACAGCTAAGGGGAGACACTTGTGGCAGTCAGGGAGCTAAAGTGTTGGGCCTAGAGTCAGGAATACTGAACTGTGTGAGTTCAAACCTGGCCTTGGACACTTCCTAGTTGTGTGACCCTTGGCAAGTCACTTACCCCTGTTTGCCTCAGTTTCCTCATCTGTAAAATCAACTGGAAAAGGAAATGGCAAACCATTCTAAGTATTTTTCCAATTGCTGCCCAAAGCAGAATTGGTCCAGACAGGTTTGAGCCCAAGATAACTGAAAAATGGGCACACTGAGGTTCCTTGAGAGGGAAGAGACTTATTTTTGTCTCTGAATCTCCAGGCCCAGCCTGGGGCTCTGCACTTTTTTGTCCAAAACAGTGATGTGGAAGTCTCCGGAGGGAGCTCGATAGCTGCAGAGGGGTATGGACCAGGGTAAGGAAAGAACACTGATTAGAACAGGAAGCCTTAGCAATGATCCAGGTGAAAGGCTATAGGGTAGGGGTGCAGGGCAGCCTCTCCTCATTTCCTGGCATCCTCAGGACTTAATTCGGAGGTGACTGAAGAAACAATTGAGCCACAAAATGGGGAGAAGGGGCTACAAGGCACGTTCAGAGGTGGACGGAACATCAGTGAGAGTCTATTCCAACCCCAGGTAGTTCAGGTAAAAGAGACCTCCACTTCCAAAGTAGTAGCGTGATGTGCAGCCCCCAGACTGAACTTGGCTGGGACATGTTCCTGCAGGAATGTGGACAGTATGCTATAGAAAAGCAGAATTAACACCACCCACCCTGGGCTCTACTCTGCACCTTTTCCTCTGAGAGAGGGGCCAAACTTAAGGAAATTCTGCCGGTGGTAAAGCCAGGGACTCTTCAAGACTCTTCTAGGTGTCAGAAGCCTACTGTCCAGAGGGAGGGAAGACAAAGTCCTGCTGGGCCCTGCCCTGGTCAGACTACAGCGGACGGACAAGACTAAGCCTGGCTTTTGGAGTCCTTTTTGAAAGGTCCACTGGATGATGCCAGCTGGTCCTAGGACAATGACCTCGATGCTGTGGGACCTGGTACCGCCCAGGCCAAAAGAACAGCTGAAGTGGAATGGTTAGCTGAGGAAAGTAAAGAGCTGCCTGCAACTTTGTCATGCAGGCTCGTTCTACTTGGCCCTCAGGGACAGATGGAAATGGCAGGAAAGCAGATCTCAGTGCAACACAAGGAAAGAGGTTTCACAATCAGTGCTGACCTAAAACAGGCGGGGATCACTGAGAGTTGTCACAATTCACCTGCTGAGGATGTCCTCAGAGGGCTTTGTGTTTTGGGAAGGAGGAAGGCAAAAATGACTTCCAAAGTCTCGTCTATCGGCCACTCTACGTTTCAAATTCAAGAGTTAGTCGGCATGGGTCACGAGAGTGACAAAATGGGTGAGGGACCTTCTGGCCTTCATTCTGCCAGTTACCAAAAGGGCTGCTGGTCAGAGAAATTAGTTTTGGAGACTCATTATATCCACATAACCAACTTATTTTCTCTTGTACAATTAGCACTAATTGGTAACATCAATTAAAAGAGCAAAGGATTAATTTAGCCTCAATTGTGCCAAATCAAACTTGTATGTAAACGGACAGTTTTCATCGCTGAGAATCCTCTTTCTTAAAAAAGTATCATCACATGCCTATTACACCAACCTTAACATACTCTACGGCCCGGGGTGAGAAGTCACAGGCGTAAGCAAAGATATTTAGATCTTCTTCGAGAAGTGGGAATAAACAGTTTCCAACCCCACAGCCAGCTTCAAGGATAGTCAACTTCTGATCTTCAAACTGGGGGGAAAAAAAAGAATGTATGTTATATTTGCACGATCAGCAAAGGAAATTGCTAATTTTCACCTATTAAAAATTCAGGTCTTACTGCTGAATAGAAAGCATGTGATAATTCTATATTCTATTTTTGTTGTCTTAATCTGTGTTGGGCTAAATTTTGAGTAAGTGGTTTGTTGGCCAGCTGTATTTTCCATGTCACAAGCACCAAACAAGCTTAATAAGATGCCCAGAGCTTACAACAGCCCTGAAACAAACTCAGGAGAGAAGAAAAGACGCCCTCAAGCATTTAATGAATCTCCAAAACCAGAGACCCTTTCACTGGCAATTATTCAACACCCACAAGGACGTAGTCAACCAGCATTCATTAAGTGCTGGCACTTCTGGGCTGGAGCTGGCCTCAGAACTCAGGAGGACCCGGGTTAAGTCCCACTTCTGACACCACAGGTCTTGTGACCTGGCTGAGTAACTCAACCGCTCACACTGTAAGTTACAGAGAAGACGTCAATCAGCACCAGTATCGTCCCCTCCACCCATTCAGCTGGCTTACCTCCCTACATGACCTCAGTTCCTCAAACTCTCTGGTGGTCCAGTGTCTATCTTTGAAGAAATTGGTACTATTTCTCTTATAAAACAGGTCCCAGTTCTTCTGGGCCTCCTTTTCCAGTTTTGCCTGTTTAAAGGCAGACACGACCCGACCATCTCCGCTTTGAGGCCTGGCCTCTTGTTCTTTCTCCTGACCTGGATCCTCTCCTCCAGCGGACATTACCACCTGTAACCCCTTGTAATTCCCAGATGAATCCATCTTCTGGCAGCCCTTCTGAGGATAATTTTTTTAACCGTATTTCCCCATATTTATTTTCAGGCAGCCAAATCCCATAACTCAGGCAAGATCGGGAGCTAAAAAAGGAATGAAAATGAGAATACCATAAATCAAACATTTTAAGGTGGATAAGGTAAAAGGAGATAGTATCTGTAAAGCTTTATTTGCTTAATCAACAATCCAAGTAGGTAATTCCCAATTAGCAAAAATGCAGGTCTTACTGCTGAATGAAAACCATTTTATATCCTATTTCTGTTGTCTTAATTTACATTAGATTAGAAGCTACATAGTAACTGGTTTATTGTGTGGCTGTAGTTTTGCATGTCACAAGTACACAGTACCAGCACATAGTAGGCACACTATAAATGTTTATTCAAATGAGATAAAAACTATAAAGCACTTAGCACAGTGGCTGAGACACAGTAGGCACTATATAACTGCTTATTCAAATGAGATAACTGTAAAGTAATTAGCACAGTACCTGGCACACAGTAGGCGCTATATAAATATAAGCAATCATTATTGTTGTTGTTATATTTTCTTCCCTTCCCTAGAGGATGGTTGAGCAAACAGAGAATTCCTGAAAAATCAAACAACATTTATTAAATGCCTACTATGTGCCAGGCACTTGTCTATGTGATTTTCTTTACATCCATTGCGTGGGAACAAGAAGGAAAAAATTGCAAATGTTGGGGGGGGCAGGGTGTGTGTAACATCAACCCAGCCACCCCCAGGCCTGCACACCCCGAGTTTTCAAGACCAAGTACCCAGGATTGTAGGAAAATGCTGGTGGAGCCCAGGACCCCGTGGCCCGTCCTGGCCGGTGGGAGGGAGAGTAGCCCCTTTCCGTGGGTGGGCTTTCCATTAGAATGTAAGCCCCCTGAGGGCAGGCCTGTCTTTGTAGTTCCAGGGCTGGGGACTAGACACCCCCTCCCCTACCTTGGCCATGCTTGGGGGGGGGCAGAGCTGAAGGGACCTCGGGTCCAGCCCCCTTGTTTTACAGAGGAGGAAACAGAGGTCCAAGGAAGTTGGGTGGGGCGTGCCCAGGGGGACACTGCTAGTAAGGGTCAGAGGTAGGATTTGAACCCGTTTCCTTCGACTCTAGGGTCGCGGGCTCTTTCCACCTTGATCTTGCAACACAATTTTTACAAATCGGGAAACTGAGGTGGGGGGTGGGTAGAGAGCTTGTGTGTCGCCATAGAGCTGGTAAGTGGAGGGGCCAGGACGAGGACTCAGGGTCTCGAGGGCCTCAGCTTCCTCATCCGTAGAATGGGCACAACCCTAAGTGGCATTACCTACCCTAGTGGCGAGAAGGCAGCTTTAAACCTGGAGCGGCCGAGTCGGCCTGGGGCAGGGGCGGAGCCTGGGCCGGGGGCGCGGGGGCACGGACGAGTCCTGGGACGGGCGGAGAAGGGACGTTCCCCTCCCAGAGAAAAGCGTGCCCCGTACCCTCTCCGGCGCGCTCTTCTTTAGCCCGCGAGGGCAGGGCGGACAGGAAGTGCGCTTAGCCCCGGGCCTCGATCGGAACGCTTTCCCTGTAGCACTTCCCCGCCCCCACTTCCGGTAGGAGCGTCGACGCCGGAAGCTCCCTCCCCATTCCCCGCAGACCCCGCCCCCGGCGCGGCGGAAGGGCAGGAGGAGATTCCGGCCTCTGTTGGGGGTCGCACCCGCCCCACTCTCAGCCTCGGAGCGGAGCGGTGTCTCGGTTGCACCGTTCCCCCCCGGCCTCTTCCGGAAGTGCCGGCCGGCCCTCAGGGCGGGGGCGGCGCTGAGGAAGCCGGCGCAAGAGTCCGACCGGGCGGTGACCGGAGGCCGCTTCCCCCGGCGGGGAAAGGGCCATGAACGGCACCGCGAACCCGCTGCTGGACCGCGAGGAGCACGGCCTGAAGCTCGGCGAGAGCTTCGAGAAGAGGCCCAAGTCCTCCTTCCACACCATCCGCTGTGAGTACGCCCGGGACCCCGGGGTGGGCCCCCGCCCCGATTCCTGCTAGACTCCCCAGAGACCTCCCCCCCCCCGCCCCCCCGTGCCCCCCCAGCCCGGGGGGGGGAGGCCGAGGGCGGGGCCCGGGCCCTGGCGGAGGAGGCCCCTCCCCCTTCCGCGGACCCCCTGCGGAGCCGCGCGTGGCCGTGGGCGGAGGGACGCTCAGGCCGTGCGTGCCCCGGGCGGCCGCCCACGCCCCCCTCGGCGTCCCGGGCGCTGATTCACCGCCGCCGCCGCCGTGACTCCACCCGCAGCCCGGCCGGGGCCAGCCCCTCCTTACCGGGGGGCGCTTTTGTTTGTTCCCGCGGGCTGAGCAGCGTCGAGATCGGCCCGGAGGGCTTGGGCGGGGGGAGGCCGTTGGGGCTGCGCGACTCGCCCAGGGTCACACAGCTAGTAAGAGTCCAGGCTGGATTTGAACTCGGGTCCTTCCGACTCCAGGAGCGGTGGTCCATCCGCCGCACCACCCAGCTGCCCCCAGAGGTCTCTGAGGAAGGGGGCTGAACTTGGGGTGAGGGGGAGGGAGGGCAGGGCTTGATGGGGTGTAGCCTGAATGCTCACTGCTGACCTGCTCTGGAGGACTTTCTAACAACAGTGCAAATGTTCATGTCTGTGTTTTAGTTGAACTTGGAGGACAAGATACATCGAAGTAATAAAGAATCATACAGTTTTGGAGGTGGGAGCAACCTTTAGAAATGCCCAGTTCTGCACAGTTTACAAAGGAGGAAACTGAGGCCTGAGTTTAAATGACTTTCCCAGGGTTGTTGAGGTAATCACAGACTCATCACCCTTTTCTCTTGCCTCAGACCAATGCTTTTACCATTATATTAGCTTGCTTTGGTTTTTCCTCTTACACATCACAGAAAAGTCTGTCAGATCCAGAAACATTGTGGTAACTCCTTTCCTCCTCATTACAATCAAGATGGCATTCCTTTTTTTATAGTTTCTGTGCAAGACTAATTGAGACCATATTTAAAACTACTCTAAAATTCTGTATTGGGCACAATTTAATATTTTTTGTCGTTATTTAAGAAGAAAATCTTTAATGAATTAGCTTTTGTTGATATTTGATAGTTATCTGAATAAGAAAAGTATGATTTGAGTTCTTAGTTAAAAATATCCAGGAAACTTTGGGTAGTAACATAGCCATTACCCTAATAATTTTTATCTTCTTTAGATGATTTTAAACCAGCATCCATAGACACTTCATGTGAAGGAGAGCTCCAGGTTGGCAAAGGAGATGAAGTCACAATTACACTACCACACATTCCTGTAAGTTGAGTATGTATAGTCTTTTTAAAAACTTAAGGATTGCTCTAATGTACCTTACCTGTGGTATGATATTTACAGTTTCTCTATCATTAAAATTTTTTGAAGATGATGATATACTAAGGGTCAGCAAGTTAAAGGAAAAGTAGTTTTTCTGTACCTTTCTCAGAGATGCTTGATTAAAGTTAGAGACTGTTGTATTAGCTGCCAAGTGATTAGCACCTCCTTAAAACACACGTGGCTTCTCTGAGACTTGGGCAGAAGGCAGGCCAAATTGACCAGGAGTGTGCATCGAGGTCCATGGGGCCTACCAGTGCTGTGAATCACTTAGGTGGGGTGTTGAGTCCAATGTGATCATCTAGACCCTGTGCCATGCATGGGTCCAGAATTAAAGGAGATCAGGGAAGATCTCAGGCTGGGAAGCCTGGGAATGGCTCAAGCCCGAGGTCAGAGAGTCTGGGCAACTGGGATTGAAGCAGGAGGTCTCAGGAATAGAAGCACAATTAGGGTTAGGGTTAGTTAGTGAGAACAGACACAATGCAGATCAGATCCAGCTGTCAGAGTCTGAGTAAGATGTTTCTTACTTGCTGCCCAAAGCAGAATTGGTCCAGAGAGGTTTGAGCCCAAGATGACTGAAAATGGGCACATTAAGGCTTCTTAAGGGAAAAGAGACTTGTTTTTGTCTCTGAATCTCCAGGCCCAGCCTGGGGCTCTGCACTTTTTTGTCTGGAATGGTGATGCCATTGGTGTAGGGAACTATTGGGGAGGAAGCTCTTTAGCCACAGGGGGAAATGGACAAGAGGAGGAAAGGTTTGACTCGGATTATGGAGATAAAGTCTTCGGCAACTTCAAAGCCTGTTACCGATGTCAACTATGACTGTCTCTAATAATGAGGCAACACACCAAATCTTATGGGATGCGGCCAAAGCATTCTTAGGGGAAGTTTTATGTCTCTAAATGCTTACATGAATAAAATAGAGAAAGAGGAGATCAGTGAATTGGGCAGGCAAGTAAAAAGGCTAGAAAAAGAACAAATTAAAACCCCCCCAACTAAATACCAAATTAGAAATTCTGAAAATCCAAGGAGAGCTTAACAAAATAGAAATTAAGAAAACTGTCGCACTAATGAATAAACCAAAGAGCTGGTTTTAGGACAAAAACCAATAAAATAGATAAGCCTTTGGTTAATGTGATTAAGAAAAAGAAGAAAACCAAATTACCAGTATCAAAAATGAAAGGGGTGAATTCACTACCAATGAAGAGGAAATTAAAACAACAATTAGGAGCTATTTTGACCAACTATATGCCAATAAACCTGACAATCTAAGTGAAATGGATGAATATTTACAAAAATACAAATTGCCCAGATTACTAGAAGAGGAAATAAAATGCTTAAATTATTACTGTCTCTGGGTTAGGTTCATTTAGTCCAGTCAGGGATAATAAACACCATATTGCTGCTTGTGCTGATCCCTAGGGGATCCAAAAGGTAAATCAGAAATCAGTTTGTTTGTTCCAAATTCACAACTTTATTGGTGGAAGGATAGAACTACTTATTCAAATTAGTGGAGAGATTTTTAAAAATGTTTCAGTTATTCACGTCACTTGGCCGTTTTAAAAGTCATCTTTTTTCCAGGTAGCAGCGTGTTCCGTGTGTGATTTAGGATTCCTGTCTTATGCTTTTGCTTTCAACAGGGATCAACACCTCCAATGACTGTGTTCAAAGGAAACAAAAGACCGTATCAGAAAGACTGTGTTCTCATCATTAATCATGACACTGGTGAATACGTGTTGGAAAAACTCAGTAGCAGCATTCAGGTCAAGAAGACAAGGTGAGAATCCATACTAGCACACATCTGCCGTGTGGCAGTTGATAGAGCCCACCCGAGGATCTCCTGTGAGGTGGGACAATAGGCACTGGATTCCTGACATCATCAGTGTGGGGAGCTCCCAGCAGAGGTGATGGTTTGGTAGATAATTCTAGTGAGTTCCCTGGAGCCTAAAGAGATTAACGACCTGCCCAGGGGCACACAGCTAGGAAGTGCCAGGTCTTTGACTCCAGCACTTAATCCATGACTGTGCTGCCTCTGTGAGAGGTACCAGTGAAGAGACTGAAATCAGAGGGCCTGAGTTGAGACTGGCCCAGGGTCATACGGCAAAGAAGGGCAGAGAGGGGCCGCAAACTCAGGTTTTCTTGTTCCCAGCCCTGTGCTCTACTGGGAAAGATGCTTATCTTTCCCTTGGTTACTTCAGTTCAGTAGGCAGGTTCATTTATTCATACATTTTTTGAGTGTCAGTTACTGCTTTAGGCGTAACTTTCTCTGAATTGTCATTTTGTTGACCCGTATGAGAAAGCAAACCATCTTCATTTTCAGAAAGATTGTATTCTGAAGATGATTAATGCTTCATTGATAATGTGGTTGTTGAAATAGGATAATCTGAGGCAAAAGATTTTGGCACCTGGAGTTCTAATGGCAAAAGCATATTGATTGTGGAGACTGTTTCACTAGGGTGAAAGCACAAACTCCAAGCATGATGTATTCTAGATTACTATATCATGAGAATAAAACTTCACTGACTTTTTTGAGTAGTGAACACTATTTCACGTGAAACCAGAAATTTTATGAACACACTGTATTTAAAATGCAAAAGTTAGTCTTTACGTGTAAAAGAAGTCGATAGCTTTAGTTCATTGTAGTCTAAGGCCATATTCCTGTTCTAAATTGCATGATCTAGTCTCATTAAGTATTTTTGCCCTTGTTTCAGAGCTGAAGGAAGCAGCAAAATCCAGGCGAGAATGGAACAGCCCCCTGCTCGGGCACCACCACCTCCTGTACCATTTAGGGCCCCAATGAAACCCCCAATTGGACCAAAAACCTCTCCTGTGAAAGACAACCCTTCACCTGAACCCCAGTTGGATGACATTAAGAGAGGTAAGTAATAGTTTGTGGAATCTCTCTCCTCAAGAAAGATGGACAAGAACAGCAGTAGCCGCTAAGAGCTTTTATAAGCATCTGTGAATCTATGCTTGGGATTTTCACTTAAGGATTCTGCCTTGTAGGAGACGCAGACATGAACTTGCTTGTTCCTCTGGGGGGCCTCCCAGGATGCCGGGAAGGTTCTTTCTGGAATTAGTGGCTTGAAATTGGGCCCCTTGGAAGCTCAGAATTTAAACCAACATGTACTGTGGATGTGAAACATGAGGCAAACTGTTAAGTCCATTGGGAAGCCTGAATGTCCTTCAGTTTCCTCTTTTGGGCAGGGTGGCCTTGGGAATAAAAGGCCATCTTACATGTTGATTGGTTGGTTAATTCATTTACAATTCCATTATTCTTTGTTGAGGAATGGGTGTGAGAGAGGGCAGGATAGTCGAGCCAAAATAAGCCCAGGTCAGTTAGGCCCTATCTTGTTACATGTACTCACCTGTTAAAATGTAAGCTCTTTGAGGACAGGGCCTGTTTTACTTTTGCCTTTTTAAAGAGGTGGTTGATTGCCGGTAACTCTGAGTCACTGTTCCCAATTCATGACCCTCAGATGTGTTCTCTGGAAAATGTGGGCTTTTAGTAGCTTCTAGTTGGAGGGCTACTTTGAGATTGAGCCACACTACAAGTGTGTGAAATGCTTTCAACACTGCAGATGCTGATGGGCCAGTGGATAGGAGGGGAGTTGATAAACGGCCCCTGCTGGACAGGGTCCCCCTTGTCAGCAAGGGGCTCCACAAGTCAGATAATGAATGTAAAAAACCCAGGCCCCAGGCCTCAGCTTTAGCCTCTAACCTTCAGGGTCCTTGTGTGATGTTTTCTACGGCAGGCCTTAAAGCGCTCAGTCTGTTTTTCTGACTCACTGAGGTGTTAAAGACTCCCTCCGTTCACTTGGATGAGAGTTGTAGACCATGAGTGTCTAGTCAGTTCTGGTTGTACGAAGGAGTGTTAGAAATAAGTGAATAGATTGTACAGTGTGTGCACAGGGCGTGTTTTATACATGACTGTCAGCAGATAGGTCTCAGCGACAGATAATGTGTTTGCAAGAAGATTTCAGATATGAATTTGATTCTAATTCATACAGAATAAAGAATCCTACTCTTTGGCAGGACATGGTTTATAAAATGTCAAAGCATTTTTCTGGAGATGTTCTTAGCAGCGGAGTTAATGGGGTCACAGATAGAGGAACTGGGTAGCGACCTCGGAAGTCATCTACATCTTGTCCAACCCCCTTAAGAGGTGGAAACTGAGTCCCAGGGAGTTTAAATGACTCACCTGCTATCACCCAGGTGCAAGCATTGGAATCCAGGTCCTTGGACTCCAGAGCCAGTGTGCCAGGCTGCCTCATTAGTCTGGCATTCTCTTCTTCATATAATCAATGTTGTTTACTTCTCGGTTCCTTCTGTTGCTCCAACCTTAAAATGCTGTGGAAAGATTCCTTCATGCCCATGAAAAGCACCATTGTATATTGTATATTGATGTCTTTTGGCTCTGACTGCTTTCTCCTTATTAATGAACTCACAAACCTGTAGTAGGCAAACATTTTAAGTAACGTACTTTAAGCAAAGAGCGCAGCGTGGCCTCCTCCTCCGCTGACGCACACGTTGCCCTTTCGTTCCAGAGCTGAGAGCAGAGGTTGAAATCATCGAGCAGATGAGCAGCACCAGCGGAAGCAGCTCGTCAGACTCGGACAGCTCCTCGGGCAGCGACGACGACAGCTCGAGCAGCGCAGGGGACGAGCCGGCCGCCAGGGCCTCCCCCTCGCAGCCTGCTCCCCAGCAGTTCAGTCACAGAACCCCTGTGGCCAACGGCACCGGCCGGCCTCCGGGAAACAACCAGCTGATGAACACCCTGCGTGAGTGGGGGTGTCCCCGCCCTGCCGACTCATAGGCTTAGGGACATCAGGAGTAAAGGAAAATTCTCGTTGTTCACTGCATCTGAAGGAATATCATGGAATGTCGGCAGTTGTATGTGAACTGGAGGAATTCGGGGCTTGTGGGAGATGACTGACCCCAGAAAATGTCAGTGGGAACAGAGAGCACAAGCTGGCGTTTTAGCATTCCTCCTGTGCACACACAACCGAATTCCAGAAAATGCTGCTCCAGATGTTTGCCTAGACAGGCCTCTTTGGATTTTTCCCCATTCCCTCGAGGGCCCCAGATGTTGTGGCCTCATTTCCTTCAAGGCTCCTTTCAGGGGGCCTCCTGCCTGAGGCTGCCAGAGCCATCTTGTGAGATCCTTTGTGTTTCTCATATAGATGTACTTAGATATAGACATCATGTGTTCCCCGTTGGAGTGCAAGCTCCTTGAAGTGGGGACTGTGTCCTTTCCGTGTGGTTATGTCACCAGCATGTCCCCCAGCAGCTGCCATGTTTTTTAGTCCTGACCTTTCATTTCATCGGCGTAGGGAACTCCCCATATCAGCCACGCGGAACGGCCACTGTTGTTCCACTGATTGTCCCGGGGAGTCTTCTGGGACCCAGAGCTGAAGGCACTAGCTCTGAGTTACAGCCCCCAAGACTTGAATGCAAGTCTTCCTGCACACATTGATACATCCTCAGTGGAGGGGTGCCTTCACTGGCCCAGCAGGCTCTGGCCATTAGGAGTGGACACAGGGAGGTCAGGCATTCACGTTTGGCAGCATTTGACTGCAGCCAATTAAAAAGAGAAGAGGAAGAGGAAGAACAGTCTTGGGGGGAGGGAAGGGATATGTTGGATCTTTCTGTACCCCTAACCTGATTATACTGCTTGTGTTTACTGATGAATATCCTTCCCTGGTGTGTTTAAGCTGTGGAGGAATTGGAAACTCTGACAGTAACAGTGGAGAGACTAATTGAGTTAACTCTGCTCCTATTATGTGAATTGGTGGTCCAACCAAGTTAACTCATCACAAGCAAACACAAATTAAGTGTAATGACTTTCTGCCTGCCCAGTGCTCATCACTGATCCACGGGTATAATTACAGGCTTTTTACAGTCTCAGCATTACTGAAACCAAGCCCAACAGTATCAGTGTATGAAGTTAATAACATCTTGTGATTTGTTATAATACTAGTCAAAATGATTAAAAGAAAAAAAAAACCGTCCTTGTAAGGTTTAAAAGAGAATTCTTTACTTGCTGATATTGAATGCCGTCAGCCAAAGAATTTAAAGGCATTAACTTAATTCTGTGATTTTGTTTTTGATTTGTTCTTACAGGAAATGACTTACAATTGAGCGAGTCTGGCAGTGACAGCGACGACTAGCGTTGGAGCTTCCTGCATCTTTCTCTTTGGTAGGAGAACATGTGGAGGCAGCAGGACATGAGCAGGAGGCCCCCTGCCAAGGAGAGCTTTTGGGGGGGAGCTGTCGCTGAGCCCGAGCAGGCGTGCTCTTGTATATATTAAGTGAATGCAGTTTTACAAGTTTTACCTAGATCTGTAGAGTAAATAACTAGGAGGGTTGTTTTTTGGTTAACGTTGTACATGGAAAACCTGAACTGTTGGGGGAGGGAGGGAATCTTGGTTTTTCAGAGGTTGAGTGATAGTCACTAGTTTGGACATGTCATCTTCATTGCCGAAGCAAACGATTTGGCCTTTGGGGGGAAGCAGCATCCCCAAAGTGTGTTAAAGCCTCTTCTAATTATTGACCACATGGAGATGAAGGTTTTAGCCTTCTTTGCCTAATTAGACCTGACCTGATAGGTCAGTGGAGACATACTTAGGCAGAGACTTTCAGAAGTAGACAGAACATTGTATGTGATCCATTCCAAGCAGGGAGGCTTAGGCAGATTCGAGTAAAACCCAAGGTTCCAGCACTTTCTCTATTGTACCATAATGACTCCCATTATATTTAATCAAATATTTATTGAACACCTACTGTGTGCAGAGCTTAGGTATGTAGCAAAACCAATGATCTATGTACATAAAGCAATCAGATACATATTGGAGCTTTGTACCTAGACTGTGAAAGTCACAACTACCGTTTTGTTTCTAGTTTCAATGTGGGCCAGTGAAAGTTGGCTCTGTACAGGACAGAAGAATCCCATGTGTAGGTGCAGTGACTATGAGATTTGAGTACTGAGTCGATAAGGAAAAATCACGAGCCCATGTTCAGCTTTCATTGGACGTAATTGATTCAGTGGATTTTTAAAGGAATGGATTTTTTAAAAAGAAATAATAGGAATGACTCTGAGTAGGAGGAGTTAGGGGAGAATACTACTGAATGTGTGAACTAGAAGTGAGTTTTTAAAAAGTATCCCAGGGTGAGTTTGAAAGTACCATATGAAAGGACCATAACTCTCCTTGATTTGGGGATTCCCCCCCTTTTATACAACTATGTTTAAATTACAGGTTGTATATTTATATAGCTGGAAACAACACAAAATATGCCCTGTTTTGTACAGATCTTCTGCAAAATGCTTAAAATACTGATAGAATGAAAATGTTCTAAGACAGCAGTCCCGAGTTACGATTAAGTGTACCTTATTAAGTGTACATGCAGTAGGTCTCCATACAGTCTAAATGAACATCCCATTGCTTATAATTAGAATACATATTTCTTAACACAAGAAAATTCTTTTGCTTATGTTTGCTGGGCATATAGATTTTAAATTAGTTTCTGGCCTATTGCCTCCCTGACTTACGCCTCCTTTTCACCCCCACCATTCCCCTACCTGTCAGCTCTTCAACACCAGTTCTGAAGTAGAAGGACAATTTGAATCTAATCGTGGGATACAAGACACATGGGGGAAGCTCAAAGGAATATAATTAAGGGGAGCCATAGTTAGGAGGCAGGAGGAAGGGGAGAAAAACTCTTTCCCCTTACACATTGGCCAAAGAAAGCTGGGAGTTCAAGGGGGAATAAACCTCATTGCCTTGTGACCTTTAAGTACTTTTTGGTTCTTACCCAAATCTCAGGCTCTTAGATTGAATTTAATGGAGTATAAGAATTTATTTATAATGAATTGATAATTTATTTATAATCTGTTGGTAGTGTTGACATTAGAGATGGACAATACCATCATCAGTTTATATTATTGCTGGAAATAAGGAATATTTAAGTGTTTCACTGCTATTATTAACTTGCCCAATTCTTTGAGCCAGATTTCAGTCATTTGAACTAAGGTTTCCTGTGTAAGCTTTTAAATTTTAAATAAAAACAAATGCTAAAGGAAGCAAACAGGACCTTGGTTCTAACATCTCCAAGTCTAGATGTTCATTTGCTAATCGTCAAAAAGAGTTGTGTAAACGCATTATTTGCACGTAGCACTATGGTTAGTTATTCAGATATAGTAGACTGGTAGGGGAAATATGGAGAGTAGGGCATTCCAAGAATATGCATACTTTGGATGACAACTTGGACATGGGAGCCATGGATGTTTTCAACATTTTGAAGCATTTTGTGGAATTTTTCAAATTTTCTTTTGTTATTTGTCTCCCATCCTTTTGTATTTGTTTAGAGACTGGTGGTCGTAGTGGATAGTAATAAATCTCAGAACCCTGCCTTTCGGAAATACTTGTTATACAGTGCTTAAATTTTACATATAAAATCACAGTAGGGTTTGGATACTTGCAAACTCGAGATTTTTATCTGAAACCAAGACTACTTATTCTTTATTTGCTTTTTGTCTGTAACAGTCTCATGTTTTTCCGTGTGTGTTTATATTTGCTTGTCTTTGGTGGTGGGAAACCTTAAGATTCCAAAATCCCTTTTCCTTGATTAAGATAACAGATTCAGTAGGATGTGTGTGTGTGTTTGTGATGTATTTATATGTTGTTTTGAAAGAAATATTCTCATGTGGATGTATATTAGGTTATAGTAAAAATGGAATTATTCCAATGTGGTATGGTAGGTGGCATTTTGGAAACTCAGGAGTAGGTTGAAGTAAAAGATGAGTAGAATAGTGATCATCACTTACCATTGCCTTTTCCCCATCATCACTCTTGTCCCGAGTTCATTTTAACAAGTTAACTTAAAGTTGTCTGGCTTTGTGATTGCAGTTTTCAAAATCTTGTGCCTAGAATTTATTTTCATAGCTGCTTTACTGTAGGGTAGAAATATGCATGTTTACATTTATGTAAAATATTTGCAGTGTGTAAAGTTTTATAGTTTACTCTTTTAAAAAAAATCACTATATTTAAATAAGAAATTAAAGTCAGCAATTCTTCTTTTGTCTTCTGTTTTTGTTTTTCTTTCTTAAGTTAGAAATAATGTAAATAATTTCTTACAATAACCCTTCATACATGGACTTAATGATAATGGAATCTAAAAAATGATTCTTTAAACTAGATATCACTAAATTTAGGAAGTTTACAAGGCTAGTAAAATTTGAAAGTGAATTATTAAAGGAATGATTTATGAGCACTTTGAAAGGGAGAAAGAGATGGCTAAGAGCTGGCCTGGGTTCACCAGGAACAAGTTATGCCAGACTAACCTCATTTCCTTTTTGACGATGTCCCTATAGTAGGATGCCAAGGACCTTCTGTGGACATCTAGGTATTAGCAGCTCATTCGCCAGATAGTCTCCTTGTGAACAAGGTAAAAGGATATGGATTGGATGGAAAATAGTGGAAGTGAGTGGGTTGAAACAAGTTGATTGACTAAACCCAGAGAGTTTGAGAGACCAGCATGAGGTATTAGAAGGAGCACCGGATTTAGGGTCACTCAGAGGACTTACCAACTCTGTGACCTTGGAGGCGGCACATCTCTCCGCAGTGAAGAAGGCTGGATCAGGTGATTTCCCAGGTCATGTGGGGCAGTTAATGATTCCACTGAGTGGCAGTCAGACTGGACAGAACTCCAATGGAGGGCCACATGGCTCTTTTCCTTGGCCATGTTTTGAACACCTTAAAGAAAATCAGTGTCTTGAATGACTTGATTTTTATGCTTTTTAAATGACATAAAACTGGAAGTAGCCAATACATTAGAGGACAGAATAAGAATTCAGAAAGATCTTGATGAGCTGAAATGTTAGTTAAAGCCAACGAGATGAAACTAAACAGGGATAAGGATGAAGTCATTGGATTAAGAAAAATCAACTACCAAGTATAGAGTAGGGCAAATGCAGTTAAAAAGCACTTCATGAAGGGAAAAGGGGGAGAGGAGAGTTTAGTAGATAGAAGACCCAAGGTAGGGGGTCTAAGAGGCAAGGAAGTGATAGCGTTCTTTTCCTGGGTCAGCCTAAATATGATCAGTTGTGGCCAATTCCAGGTACCGTACGTTCTAAGGATCGTTGACAAGTTGGAGCATGTGCAAAGAAGAGATATCAAGATAGTTTGGAGGCTTGAAACCATGACATAAACAAATGGTAGAACATGATCATTGGAAGGAGAAGACTTAGTAGGGAGATGATTGCTCTCTTCAAATATTTGAAGAGTTGTTATATGAAAGAGGGATCAGATGTGTTGTATCATGCTCCAGAGGGTAAAACTATGACTAATGAATGGGAAATTAACAGAGGCAGATTTAGGGTCAACAAATAGAATCTTCCTAATCAGAGACATCCACATGGAATTAGCTGTCTCTAAAAGAAGTGAATTTCCCTTCACTGAAGGTCTTCATGTAAAGGCTGTATGATGACTTACTGGATATGGTAGAAAGGATTCTTTTAGCTAAGGGTCAAACCTTCTCTGAAGTTCCTCCCAACTGATTGTACTGTTTTAAAAAGGACAGCCACAATCTACACCTTCATCTGTTTCACTGATTTCCTTTGCCAGACAGGCATGAGAGCAGTAGAAGAACCAAGGACTGCCCCTTGGCATGAGCCTGAGATGTGGGCACTCTGGAAAGTTGACCATTTTCCTATGAAGGCAGGTACCTGTCTTCAAGCAGGTGCATCACTGGGGGACTTGTTCTTCCTTCATTCAAAGGGCAACAGGCAAACGGTGGATTTGAACAGATCTGCAATCCATTCGTTACCAACAAAAACTTGAATTTCTGGTTAAGGGGGGTGATTCTCCCACAAACATTCCAGCAAAGATCTGTAAGTGCACCAGAGACCAAAGAGAACCATAGGTAAACTCTTTCATCCTGTCCAGGACTGTCCAAGAAGGTGGCCAGAGGCCTGCAAGTGCTGAGGGGAGGTAGCTAATACAATCTTCTCTAAGTAGGTCCTTAAATCTGTGGGAGCTCCAAGCTGGGTTGCACCCGGGGGGAGTCGGAAACTAGACCAATCTCTAGCAAACTGGTGTTGTATCTTGTAGGGGTTATGCCAGGGAATGTGGAAGAAGTGTAAGTTCCCACAAACAAGGGGGTCACAGCTCTAATCTGTTGGAGCAGCAGGTGGGGACAGAGCTAGCATTAACAATCACTTCCATATGCTTTTGAGTTTAGTTTTTCTCCCCCTTCCTCCCCAAGACAGTGCACAATCTAATAGAGGCTATACATACACATTCCTATTGAACATCTTTTCATAGAGCTAGCTTTTTGATAGGTCAGTGTACAGGCAGACAGAGCCAGGGAATGAATGTCTAACACGGGGTCCCTTGTCTTGCATCTTCTCAGGTCCCAAGTGCAGCCCTTTGACTGGATCCAAACTTCACAGAACAAGTCCCCTTACTAAAAGGATTTGTTGTGTAAAACTTGGCCTCAGTCAAAAGGCCGCATGCAAGGGCCTAGATGGCCACATGTGACTGTAAGGCCACTGGTTCCCCACCCCTGGTCTAAGAGAACTAGGAGCTGTGCACAGAAGGCAAGGGGAGCTCAGTGACCAGGTGTGCAGAGCGGCCTTTGCAGGAGTCCCGAGACTAGCCCGTCATCAATATTTGACTGGAGCCTGACTATAGTAGATGATAGAGCCAAATCTCAGTGGAGATGGTGCAAGCAAAGACACAGAGAAGAGGCAGAGGCAGAACCTTGTACCCAGGTACAAGGTTCTGCCTAGAACCACAACAGAAGTGTCATTCAGACTACTGAGGAGACCCGACCAAAGAAGGGTTTGCCCTTCCCATCCAAGAGTGCATGATGGGGAGGAGTCTGGTCCTGGCATAAAGTTCCTGTCCAGGAGCTGAGATTGGAGATGTAAGGAAATGAAAAAAAAACTCCCAATACAATGAAGAAATACTATGGGTTAAGGGAAGTCAAGAGATAAATAGAAGAGAGTAACTCCGTAACAAATACAAGGAGAGCCTGACAGGAAAGAATGACTTGGACACAGGGGCTCCCAAGAGTGACTAGAAGAGGGGCAGCTGGGGGGCGCAGTAGATAGAGCACCAGCCCTGAATTCAGGAGGACCCGAGTTCAAATCCAGCTTCAGACACATAACACTAACTAGCTGTGTGACCTGGGGCAAGTCGCTTAACCCCATTGCCTAGCCAAAAAAAACCTAAAAAAAATGACTAGAAGAAATGAAGAGATTTTAAAAAAAATAAAATGAAACAGCTGTTGAGGAAAAAGAAATAGGAAGGAGAATAAATAGCTTAGCAGAGAAGGTTGAAAAGCTTACACAAGTAGTGGACTCCTTGAAAAATAGAATAGAATAAACAACTTGACTTCACAAGTATTTCTTCTTGTCTCAGGGTCACCGATCTCACAGGGTCGATACAAGCTGATTTTCAGGGCATCTCTTACTTGAGTTAGGATTTATATCCTGTACTACAGCTGTTGATCCTCCTTTCATTTCTGTCTTTAAGAGGTCTTGTTTCTTTTTCCATGTTTCCTCTAGAGCTCGTTTCATTCATCATTTTAAAATGCTTCATTTCATCAAAGAATTCTAGTAGCATATGGCAAATCTGTGATTTTCTTTGAGGGCTTATTTGTAAGTGATGTGGATTTGAATCTTGGGCTCCATTAAGATTTCCTTATCATCGACGTTTTCTTTTGTTTATTCTTTTTCCAGCCTTACTTTCTAAATTGGGAGTTTTGTTTCTGGGCCAGCCTCTGTGTACTTCTGGAAGGATTGGAGGGGGCCTTCTTTGGTACTGATCTCTTATCTAAGTAATGAGTGCTATGTTGTTTAGGGTTCTCAGGAGCATCTGGCCAGCACGGGCAGTCTAGTGGGCAGTCTGGATTGTGCCAGGAAAAGGAGACAGAAGATGTGGCATAGGCCAACTCTTGAATTGGACCACCGGCAGAGGGAGACGGAAGCATAGGTGGTCTGATCCCTTCCTACCAGTCTACTTACAGCGTGCTTCCTTCCATGGACGCAGCGATCCGTGGACACTGACCTGTTGTTCCACAAACACAACACTCCATCTCCCAGCACCCATGCCTGGAATTCTCTCCCTCTTGGCTCACTTGGCTTCTCAGCTAAAGTGTCACCCTTTCCCAGTCTTCCTAATCTTAGTGTCATCCCTCTGAGATGACTCCCAATTTATCTGGCATATATTTTGCTTTACATCATTGTTTGTATGTTTTCTCTCCCATTAGACTGTGAGCTTCTTGAAGGCAAGGACTGTTTTTTTGTTTTTGTTTGTTTTTTGCCTTTCTTTGTATCCCCAGTGCTTAGCACTGTGCCTTGCAATTTGTTGTTGTTCAGTTGTTTTTCAGTCATGTCTGACTCTCCATGGCCCCATTTGGGGTTTTCTTGGCAGAGATACTGGAGTGGTTTGCCATTTCCTCCTCTAGCTCATTTGACAGTGAAGGAAATGGGCAAACAGGATCAACTGACTTGCCCAGGTCACACAGATAAAAAGTGTCGAGGCCAGATTTGAACTCAGATTTTCCTGACTCCAGGCCTGGTGCTTTATTCACTGTGCCACTTAGCTGTCCTGTGTGCCTGGCACATGGTAGACACTTAATAAATGCTATTCGACCGACTGACCGACAGGGTGAGTCCTGAATTGCTCTTCTAGTTCAAACTCCATAGGTTTGTGAGCCTTGGTTACATTCTAGTCTAGGATCCCTTCTTTCTGCCCTAAGGCTTACCCCTGGTTCATACCTGTGAATCTTCCATTAAATGTACTCTCAGGCCAGCCTTTTCTGTCTGGACCCCTTCCCTAGAGCCTGCAGAATTCTGAGCCGACAAAAATGTACTTACTATAGCTTCTCCTTAAATTTATTGATTGTGTCTCAGTTCAATGCAGTTCCTTTTCTTTCTTTCTTTCTTTCTTTTTTTTTTTTAAAGCTCTTGCTGGAATAGCTGTGAATTATTGTTTAGTCATTTTTCAGCTCTGACTCTTCATGACTCCTGTTGAGGTTTTCTTGGCAAAGAT